GGAAATGCAGAATATTCAGAAAGCTGCTTGTGGTCTCCACTTTACCATAAATGATAATCAGGGGAAGAAGTTTAACTGCACATTGACATATACTACTGATTAATTGATATGAGTAGTCAAAAACCACTCACATTAACCAGCAATGGTAGCTAGCCAGATCAAAATGATCTAAACACTTGGATAGTTGTTCATTTTTCGTTTAAGACTGCGTTGATCTGGCACTCAACCGGTCAGATTCAGCTAAGAGAGGTGAATCAGTCGGCAACATACGAATTCTTGCTAACCACTTGGTCAAAATGTTTATTACCATTATGTATCTTAACGACCATTCACACCTCTCTCTAAGCGACTGGCCATGAGCCACACTATGGATCACTACGTACTAACGCATGCTCAATAAGCCAATATAAAACAGTTAAGTCCCTTACTGCTGTCAACTCCATACGCATTTATAAATTTACATACACTTGCGATAGAGAGTACGTTGGAAGGACAGAAAGAAAGCCTTCTATCCAGTTTTCTAAGCATATTCCCAAAAAAGTTTTAATTCTTTCGGAATATTAAATATGCAGGGAATGTCAAATTTACTACAGTTTGTCGAAGTCAGCTCACTAAGCTGATTGCAGTATTGCGAACTATAATCTCCATCTCTCGTCACTTAACTTCATAAGCTAATAGTTTTTGATTTTGCCTATTTTTCTCCCCTTGTTCTCTTCTTTGACATGTACATAAATTGAGGATGACTTGAAATGAGAATAGTTTACTGTTTCTATTTTCGACGCCTTGATTCCTCTGCAATCATTTAAACATGTGTGTTATTTGAATTGCTCGTCAGCTAGATATATCTTCATCCCCAGGGGATAATGGTGTTCTCTCTAAGAGTCGAACACCGTGCCCATCCATTCAAACACCAAAGCACTACCCACTAATCCATTTAGATCGCTATCAGTTATGATTTGATTTTAGCTTGATTTTCATTTCCCGTTGATTGACTATGCTGTATTGAAATTCTCAGTCTCTGTTGACATACTGGCTCCTGTTATGGAAGCTTCGACGATGTCTAAGCCTGCTGTTCTTTATAATATTCTGACAATAACTCTAAGCTAATGGGATTCGTTTCCAGGTACTCATATCAGTCTATAAGTAGTATATGGCGTCATGAATATAAACATTCAGCGTAAATACTTAACCCAATGTTTCTTTTCACAACCAAATTAGCCTTTTTGAACATAATTGGTCAATGTAAGGTAGATTAAGGTTTCTTATAATTTCATATCAAATTATTAATCCCAACTGAGACATCAAAACAAAGAATTTAATGAGAAATTTCTCTTTTTCGACGATTTCATCTTCGTAGCTGTACAATTCTATACATCAGTATTATCGCAATTTAGTATTTTCACTTATTGTCACATTTGTTCAGATATATGAATGAATGACTCAATAAATAGAGGTCAACCCAAAGTTCAGTAGGCATGTCTGAAATAGATGATAGGGAAATAAAGTACATTCGGAAATGTGAATAATTTGAATATGATATGATGGAGACATAAGATGAGTGAAATGTTGTCGAAATAGTAGACTAAATAAAATGTTAGAATATGATAATATTAAGTGAAATAAAATAAAACACAAATGGGAAATGGAATAAAGCAGGATAAGAAATTTTTAAAATATGTGAATTACGTCGTAAAATTAAGACTATGGTAACTAAAGAGAACATACAAATTGTTTTTGTACACAAAGTTTTGGGTTTGTGTTATTTATCGTCAAATTCTCGGCTGTACACAAGCAAGTGCACTCGTGTCCCTTTCAGCAAACTTCGTCAAACTATGTAGACTATATTAAACGATGTGTCAAATACTTTGTGGTGAGTGTCTATAATATGCCGCAATATCGATGAATTCATACCTCTACGCTTTCCTCTGAAAGCCAAACTTGGAGGTGCTCTCGAGAGCAGCGGGATATGTTATCCGATTAAAGTGCTATGTAACTAGCTCTGAAAGTGCAGGAGAATTTATATATGCATGGAATTAGACAATAGAGGCAACATATCCTTGACATTAATGTGAAGCAGTGGACGGCCAGAGTAGGTTGTTTGTAGAGTGTTAGCAAAGAACCTTTTTCTCAGTGATCTCGTCAGGCGATTTTTAAGTATCGCATTTGCAGTGTCTCCTCTAAAATCTATGTTTAGTTGCAACACTTTTTCAGCTACCATGTCAGTCTATGTATTTCTTCCACGTAATTTGCTATAGGCCCTTACGAAGCGTAGTAGATACCCGTTCTCTATGAAGGTTTCTTCAAGTTGTTTGAGTTCATCATCAACATCCTCTCTACAAATTCTGCATACACATGTTGAGAGAGAAAGGATGAGATTCTTTTTCTGTCTATGGGGAAAAAAATGCGAAAATTGGTTAGTTGTTCTGTCCACATGGATTTTCTGTGAATAGATCTTTCGTTATGAGTAGCACATCAAGGAAAGATATTTTTCCTTCAGCTTCTTTCTCCAAGGTGAAGTGGATAGCAGAATGACTGTCATTGAATAGTCTCAGGATGTCATCCATATCTCACTTCTCGTCGTATGTAATGAACGTGTCATCCACGTATCTTTTGTAGAAGTGAAGTTCCTTTATAGCAGGTGTGAGAGTACCACTGTCCATACTAACCAAAAAGAAGTCTGCCAGCAATGGGCCAGGTGGCAGCTGCATAGCTACTCCATTTCCATGTCTATATATTTCATTGTTGAAGAGAAGTTGGAAATTTAGAGTGAACCGAAGTATGAACTCTTTCAGGTATGCCGTGGACATTCCTATGTTCACATTGTGTCAATCTATGTAATTACAAATGAAGTATACAGTTTCATTTAATGGAACATTGATGAAAAGTGAGCATACATCAGGTGATAGCACAGTTTCCCCAATAACATAAATATCACTAACGCAATTAACAAATTCAGAGACGTCATATAAAATATAAGCAAATACTTGCCTTCTTAAAGGTTTCAAGAGTTCCGCTATCCCCTTTGCGACATAATGATTCGGTGAACCTGTCATATCTAAAATGGGATGCATTGGTAATCAAGATTTATGCATTTACGGCAGGTCATAGAGTCGAGGAATGATCGATTCAGAAGGTCTCAACCTTTCATATAGCTCGGTTGTCAATATTAAATCATTCTTCATTCATTTCAGAACCTGTGTGATTTTTTCCTCTGTCATTTCTGTATTGTCCTTCTCACGTTCAGGTTTCTGGAATTTTGTTTCATCTGACAAGATGTTTTGCGTTTTCTCAATATAATCTTTCTGACCCATTATTACAATCCCCGCACCTTTATCTGGTCATGTTAGTAGGATATTCCCATTTTTGTTAAACTCATTCAACTGAATCAAAGATTCCTTTGAGAGATATGCTGGAGCAGTTTTGGTTTTGATTTCATGAACTCATATCTTGAAACATGCATACGTGGATCGGCAGATTTAAGTATTGGCCATGGAATAATGAGAATGCACCAATGAACTTGAACGCGAATGACATCAATTTAGTGACACCAGGTGAAAGACTGTGTATTCGTAGAAAAATGATGATAACGTCGAAGGATATCAGTGTGATGCCCAATAGTGACTGGCCTTATTCAGGTAGGTAGTCACTTTGGTTCCAGTGGGAAGTTATGATCAGTGGAGTACAGCAGATCGGGTTTGAAGACAAACGCTGGTCGATGACATTCGCTAGTGGTTGCGCCATATCATGAAATGGCAGTAGTTGTTATTGATGGACCATTGGACAGGGTCTCAGTGGCTTAATTGTCTACGAGCTTGGCTTGTAACCAGAAGGTTCTGAAGTCGAGCCCTCGCGGTGAGTGCGTACTATAGAACAGTCTCAAACTAGAACGCAACAGCTGCTCACTACTCCCAGTTCCTCCCATGGTCCCCTAACTGAAACCAGTTCATGATGAAATCGTCATATCAAAAATGATATCTGGATGGTTTGTAGTTAGTGTTATGGTGGGAACAACTCAGGAGTATGTTCATGTGAAGATCAGAGGTGTTTAGGGTTAGATTAGAGTTGATTTAGGGAAAGATGAGGATTAGGATTAGGTAAGGGATAGATTAGGGTTAGTTATGGAAAAGTTAAGGTTAGGATTGAGTAAACTACCTGAATATGCCTTTTAAAATCAATTAAGGTTATTTTAAGGGCACTTTGCCTGTGAAATGCAGTAAGATAGAAAAGCAGGGAAATGAACTACTGTCAATAGAAAATAAAGTAAAAAGAAAGATTTAAAAGAACAATGTAAACAAAGACATAACGTGTTGTTTAGGAATCATATATTCTATTGAAGATTTTCGATCCCTGAACATCCAGGCTACAATTCAATTACATTTACCTTCCACCCACTGGATTAGATTTCGACCTATAACTGAATCACACAAATGCTTACTGCAGAAGAGTTTCAAACCATATCGAAAAAACAGCTATCCAGTGCCCTTTAGATTTCCAATAATTCCCTAACCGATCCCCGGTTTCCCTAAAAAACCAACCATTGAAACCAATCAATCAAATTTTTACATAAAACTATAGAATTTGATTGAACATGTTATTATTTTTCCCCAGATTTTTGAACAACATTTTCATAACATTTTCGCCAAGTGGACAAAATGGAAGGAATTAATATTACACTCTATTTTTTACAGCTGTATGTTGTTACCGGTGAAAACAAATTTCGTTTATTTCCTGTCTGTTACCTGTTGAATAAATCCCAGTACATATCTGTCAGTCATTGATGAGTGAATGAAAAAACAAAACAACCGAACACTTATTCTTGTTGACGGTACTGGCCTATTTTATGTTCTCCACTCAACTCTATTAAACTATAAATGCGGAAATAGAGTGAATTCACTAAACTGTTTTCTCATCAGCGTGTGTGTCTGTTTGTGGGTAAAATGCTCCTAATACTCATTACTTTCAAAATTTTGATTCCACTGATACTTGGAAGTCAAATTGATATGTCGAAATATAAAGCAGTTCTTCTTCACAGACATAATTTCATCAGACAGTTAGCAAATAAATGTGAACGCACGTATATTCCACCACCAGAGAAGGAATTGACAGATTTAGTAAGTCTCAACTTTTAGAGCTGTTCTTTTTTAATATTTTGATTTATAAGAAATAGGCCTAAATAGCGAAGAAAATTTTTCTTTCGACGATTCATTTTTATGGGCTGTACAATCGTAATTATATTTAACAAAGAAATCTTTGTACCAGTCATATACTAATAAACATTGTTCTTAAAAATGTATTACATAATGTAAGGTGTAAGAAGGGATGACTGATTGTAAGTTAGAAAAGAGGCAGAAGTTAGCATGACGTAATAAGTGTGTGATAATGACTAATGAATAAGCTCGTGTAGAATAGACAGGAACTAATGGAAAGGCAATAAAGTGTTTTTATATAAAATCTGTATGAAAAAGCAGTGTTATTAATAAGCGGTAATTGACTGGTAATAAAATATGGATGATAGGAATAATAATGACAATAAAACAATAGTAGTAATAACAATAATAATAGTGAACTTACATAATAAAAGGAAGAAGTAAAATTATAGTAAGAACTTTACTCTGGTCACAGTAGGGCGAGAGAATGTGTGTATCGCTTTTGAATGCAGAGATCCAGATTCAGATCCCCAATAGCTAATGCTTCAGCTATGTATAGATTGTGCATGCGAATTCCCTTTATATGATATTGAGGGACTCTGATTAGCACTGTGAAGCATTCGTGCCAGGGTTCTCGATGCTCGGAGATGACAAGGTGTTCGTCAATAGAGCTGCTGAAGTTCTTCTTTTCTCCACTGGTTTACCAAGCTCGACAGTGTTCCAGAATACGTTTGTGAACTTGACGTTGCATACGGCCGATATACTTTACTCCGCATGAGCAAGTAAGTTGATAAATACACAATGAATTGGCCAAAGGCGGTATCTTATCCTTAATGTTAGACTGGCTTAACTCTCTGCCGGAGAATGTGGTAAGTAAGGTGGATATCCAATGAAAGACATATACCCCCAAGCCAACCTATCAAATCAAAGGTTCTCAACGAAAGCACAAAGAAAACTGCCTTACCATATAAAAAGGACATCTCATAAATCACTGCAAGACTCTTCAAACCTTTGTAATTGACGTCGCACACAAACCAACAAAATCACTTCACTCAGTTCTATGTCAACCAAAAGACTCAACAGCGAAAGAAGATAAAACCAACACCATCTACAAAATAAATTGTAACAACTACGAACAACACTACATTGGCCAAAGTGGACGTCCCCTTCGTCTTCGTATCCATCAACATTAGCTACCCATCAAAAGATAAGACATCCAGCGCCACATATCGCTACATACACACAACCATGGACATCAATTCGACTGGGGCAACGTTCAAATATTAGACAGAGGAAACAACAAGAATGCTAGAGAATTTTTAGGAGCTTGGCATTTCAGTGAATCATCAATCAATAGACACATCAAGATAGACAAAATTTACCAACTGAAGGGAACGTCGTACACAAAGGGTCAAAGTTCAAGTCAAAGAAACAATCAGTTCCCATACAAGTAGCCTAGAAGGTGTGAAAACACACAAAAGCAACTGACCACGTTCAGGACCACCAGGAGAGATAACTAATAAACTCGTGGAGAAATCTAAAAGGTCACTTCAACGAATTGAAGTATACGCTGAAGATGTTGCCTAGTAGGGAGATGAAAGCTTCGCAAATAAATCATCCATCTCAAAGAACACAACCACATCAAAATCATCCACCTGAGCTATAAATCTTCTCCATCATATCTACATCTATATATAAATATCATCAGTAATTGTTTTGAATGCCCCCCCATATTTTTACAGATATGGGATGATGGGTTGGCCATCACTGCTCAAATGTATGCTAAAACGTGCAGAAATGTTATTGGTACCCCACATGAAAGAACTACTTGCAAGTGGAAGTCAGTTGGTCAAAATGTTGCGGAGGTTGGTGAAATTCAAAAGTAAGCTAAATATTTTTTCTTTTTGTTTCATATAAAACTTGTGATTTTGTTTCTTTTATTTAGTGCCCCCGTGATATGGAGAGATGGTTCTCGATATTATGACTATAAAGATGATCACTGTACAAAAGAAAATGATGAGTATTATTGTGATAGCTTCAAACAGGTAAGTCGGTTATTGCTATTATGGAGTTGTTCAGCAGCATGTTGCCATTTCACTGTGTTCACTCATATCCAACTCGCTGTTTCCAATACAGATCCACTTGTGGGTCTGGCACTGGATGTCACTCAATGGTCTTTACAGCGTGTGTTTGATCTAACCCCATTTCCTATAGCATATCTGTCTGAAAAAACGTCCTTGGTTGGTTGGTTTCCAGAGTTGCTTGCTGCTTATCCTTTACGGTTAGCTATTCGATTAATCTTCAGTATGGAGCGCAGACAGCTGTTGTTGCTCCTGTTGCAGTAGCCTGTTACAAATGTTTCTTTTGATGCGCCAAATTTGTGAGTCATGCAGAATAATAATAATCTTGACATTAGTACTGAAAACCCAAATCTTATTTCATACTCTGACAGTGGCAAATTTCCACTCTGATTTCAGAGTAATGGAGGTCTGCCTTGCTTTTCCTATTCTGGCTACCTTTGACATCCTCACCCATGGTTCCTGTCTTTCTAGATAAATGAGGGAATTGATTTCCTTCAAATTTCCCACACTGATGGTGATTGGTGCTCATTGTTGTTGTTTTTGGTGGTGGTGGTGTGGTATCTTCATCATCTCTGGATATGACATTTGTGAAATCTTGAGTTGTAATTGTTTTCAGGTCTTAAGTTTTGTAGAGATTTTGAATTATCCCAATGCTTTCCCTCTTCATGAAATTATAAATCAATCAATTAGAGAATCATTAGAAAACAGCAAGTCCTAAGCAACTGTTTCTCATTAGTTTGTGACTCTTCAGTAGTGAGCACCGTTGAACCAACTGAGAACTAGACCCGGAACCTTCAGGTGGCAAGGCCAGCTCGTTGGCCACTCGGTCACTGGATTAGAATCCACTGACCAATAAATTCTATTTTCGATCAGTTCATGAAATACCACTGTTGATAACCAACTTCATCGATGAGAATCCCCTTCAAATTCCTACAGTGGATCCCACCGGCCACGACTTCTCAGTAGAACTTCAGAATATCTATGCTACAGTCACCATTAATGAAATCTAGACTGATGTTTTCACTTCAGGTTTTGTAGAGATTTTCATAAACTTCAATGTATATTTGAATCCTTGTCTTAGACGATTATTAGTGCTCAGCTCTGAAGATTTTCCAAACTGGGATGGAATAGTTGTTCATTATTACTTAGTTTTCTAATACCCCGGTTTGTGACGAAACAGATATATATATTGTTAATTTGATGTCGGAAACAGTTTTAAAAAATTCTACACAAATAATTTAATTTTTAGATGATTTTCGCCAATACAACGCATATCGGCTGTGGTGCACATTTATGTCATGAAGACGTCGATTCAAAGAAGTACATAGTCGTTTGCAACTATGCACAAGCGTAAGTTGTGTCTGTTTGTTCTGTTTCGTTTTGTTTATTTTTGCCTTTTTTCAATTTCCTTATTAGTAATTTAAATATCTCCATTGTGTATATACAGAAGGCGAATAATTAGGAATCAACAAGCATTTTCAATAACTACTTCTTCGTGATATCGGGGGAGATTTATGGTTCATGCGGATATTCTTGATGTGGTTGTGTACTCTGAGGTGGGAGGTTTAATTGAGAGGCTTTCATTTTCCGTCTACACTATATCTTCTTCACTCTCTACAGTTATAATTATGTTCATGTGGTGGAGGGTACCACTGATAATAATTTATAGGTAGCGAAGTGTACAAGAATTTCGAACACTGGAGCAATAGATCAAGTTAAAAATGGGGAAGAATGAAGTTAATTGTAAGGCAGTATAGAAAGCATGAAATAATGATAAAAGAGACAGAATACAAACTTTAAATTTGAGGTTTTTAAAATTTAAAGGTGGTGGCATTTGATAGTAGCTTTGTTTATTTGGCAAAATCACACTCGATGGTGGTTAAATATAAAACTTTATGTTGAGACTTCAGTCTACAAAATCTACTTGTATTCTGCTCTCCTTTGATTGCCTTCATTTGATGCTCTCAATACTGTTTAACAGTTATCTTTGTTTCTCTTCTTCACAGCTTAATCTTTGACTCAGTTATTCAAAATTCTTTTGGAAGACGTCACCAATACACTTTACTACTTACAATGTTAGCATACACACAGTTACAGTAAACGGCGAATTAAAATTATATTGAATACTGTATTGTAGTATGTGTGTAAAACAGGACTATGTTTTCGAGCTATCGGTTGCAGTCAGTGGTGTGACGCCCAATGTGGTCACTGCAGAGAAATAAACTAACGTATAGGTTGCCATTGGAAGTGCTCTAAATGATGTACAGAGAACTTTTCATCATATTTGGTAGAACAGTATAGTTAAGCAGTTCGTTGGAAATTATTTCACATGATGAATGTCTTTTGTCATGAAGTGAAATAGGTTAAGGTTACAGTGCTGACTGATGAAGAGCCGTAAACAACAGAATTAAGAAACCGTTAAAAATGAGAGAGAGAAAATATTTTTCTTTAAAACTATTTCATTCTGTAGATTGGTCACATGTCGAGAACACCATCTGTGACTGATATCTTACTTCAGGCCCTCGAGTGGAACAAATATAGGGAGTGACGAGTTGGTTTTGGTTCTGAGGGTGAAGTGGAGGAGGTCGTGTGAGAAGGGGATGAAAGCATATGGGCTATAGTGGGACCAGCTGAAAAAGACTTCCGGGAAAGAAAGATGTCCTGCTGAATCTCCATTTTCCACTTGGAACCCAAAGGGATAATAATGGTAGTATAAATAATAATTTCATTCCTATTTCCGAACACTTTAGATATATCCACTCTTGATGAATCGAAATGTTTGAAAAGGTTACTACTAGGACGCCCGAATGCAATTACTTTGCTTATGAGAAAAATTCTTTAGTAGATTCGATATTGCGGCATTTGCATTGCTTGAAATCACTGATTTTGACTCAGATAATACCAGGTTGAATTTCATCGGCCTAACTTAGGCTTTTATCTTTATTCATTAATGTGACTTTCATATGTCTCAGTGAATTTCTAACCCCACTACTAGTCATTACTAGTCTATATTCATACTTTCTCTTTTCTGGACTTATCCTTTAGACGGTTGTGAGTTACCGTTTTGATTTAGCCAAGTACAAACACAGTTGTAATGATAATAATTAATATTATGTGAATCTTGCTTGTTTTTTCCTTAATCAACATTTTTTTCTCTTGCAAACAGGTATCCTACTTATAACAGTGGACATAAGCAGTATGTAGTATAAGATTTAGAAAAGCAGTGATAGTTTTTTACACACCACTTGAAAAACTGCTGTGAAAGAAATATGGAATAGAAGCTTGACATTCTGAATAAAAGTGAATAAACCGTAGATATTGGAGGATCTCATAAAAATTGGATCATTTCCAGTAATGCTTCGCATTGTTTTGATTTATTTTACGTCGGGTCATGAGAAATGACACCAGTGGGATAACAACTGAGAACTTAGACGAGATCTGACAGCACATTTAATTTAACCTGCACCATATTATTGACTGATTGCAGGATGGAGTGCTCAGAGTTTTGGGGGAAAGCACTGATTCGTGAAGTCCACCAAGTCAGGTGTAATTACAGATACTTGCTGATAACATTGGCTGCATGTGACGCTATATATCACGAAATGGCTGTAGTTAGAATCCATCAACCATGGCATTCCATTCCAGAGATTGAATGGTCAAGGGGATCGTGTGATAATCTGAAAGTACTGGGCTTGATATCTTGTGGGTTCACTGCTGCACGCTGCTGAAGAATCCCAAAATAGGCTGAAATAGCTATTAACCAGTGAACTCCTGGTTCCTAGTGGTTCTCTAAGTAATGTCAGCTCGACATCTAACTGGAAAGATTGTACCTGTGACGACTGATATCGATACTTCTGAAGACTTCATTGAAACTGAATAAATCTCCTCGATACTTCAATAACTATTCAGCTCATTTGAATATTTCGTTTATTCCTCTGAAGTGTATTCATCATCACTTGTCTTTTATATTTCTTTATCTACATGATTAGCGCTGATGGAAGACCGTATGCTGATGGAACAATAACTCGGTGCAAAATGTCACCTTCATGATGATAAAGAAGTCGATTATGGGTCCCTGAAGTCTCCCTATTCATCATCTTCAAAACAACAATCTTTTTTGTCTTGCATATTCGGTGAAAATTTTGTCTAATATTGAAATATATAACTTGATAAACACAAAATGTTTTCAGATTGGTAATAAATATTATTCTGGGCTAAACAGAAGAATTCTTAGTGTTGTTACTTCCTGTTGGCAAACCTGATTAGTGTTCACAGTGAGTGACAAAATGTCGACTGCTTTTGACTATCATTTATATATATATATGTGTATTTTCAGCATTGGTTTGTGGGGATTTGATTGGTTGGTTACAGGATTCCATCATGAGCTGAAATCGGTTAGAGAACCACTGGAAAACCTGGAAGTACTGGAGAGCTGTTTCGTCCCAGTTTGAGACTCTTCAGCAGCACATACCCATCGGTAGTGACTGACAGTCAAGTGGGATGCACCCATGATGTGTATTTTGTTCTAGTTGGAAGTCATCAACCTCGAAGGCTCATATCACACACACTGAGTGGTAGTGCTCATAAGTTTCAATAATTAGGAACTTTCTGTGCTATGGTTTAATATCAACCGCTAGCAGTAGAGAATGAAAACAGTTTTCCATGTAATTCACTGATAGTGAGAAGGAAGTATATGAAAGTAAAATGATAAGTATCAAAGATTTCCAGGGGAAACTAGACACAAAAGCATTTGGTTGAACAATATTACCTTTAGTTAGATTTCTTTGGGCTTAAAGCCATATATAACTTTAAACACCTGTAGTACATGTAATCGAATCATGGTGCTGTATCAATAGGACGGTAAGTTGTGCTGTGAACTATCCAGTAAGTCGTTATAACAATAATTTTCATGATAATAGTGCATAGTCATGAAATATGTAGTGATAGGCATAGTGAATATAGAATTAAATTGGTCATTTACAAATTATACACTTTGGGGAGAGAATTCTCCCATGGAAACACGAAATATTCAGATCATAATGGTTGATATGCTTGGTAATGGAAACAGCAATGAAGAAAGCAGATAACGTTGTGCGATAGTACATACTGCTCAAAATATCTTAAGTAACTGAACAACTACAACAAGAATTTCCACAGTGCCCAGAAAAATACTTATACAATTTATCAGATGTGAAACTTAATGAAATTGAAACTGAAGCTCTGTCCTTAGGATTTAAGTACCACGTACCGTACCCGTTTATAAACAGAATCGATACAGAAACGCAGTTTGAGTATTTATACAGTCAAATTTCCGACCTTAAACCCATAGACGAGGATAAAAGAGTCTGGTTTAAGTCCAAAATGATCGATATTGCAGAACAATATCAGATCTCTCCTCCAGCACACTCAAAATTATTTACTGAAGAACACAGAAAAGCAATAAAAAACCTACGAAACAGCGAAAACATCGTCATTCTCAAACCAGACAAAGGCTCAGGTGTCGTAATAATGAACCGCCGAGACTACATCTCAAAAATGAAAACCATTCTCGATGATACAATAAGATTCCAAGTCGATATGTCCAAAAAAGAAGCAACAGCGGCCTTCGAAAATAAAGTAAGCAAGCACCTCAAAGGACTACTTAAAGGAGGGCTAATAGACAACAGCACTTACAACAGCCTTAAACCAAGGGGTTCGCGTGTACCATTCATGCACGGTCAACCCAAAGTCCACAAAAGTGATATACCATTGAGACCTATAATATGAATGGTGAAATCACCATGCCATAAACTGGCCAGATGGTTGGCCCAAAAGCTGGAACCCATTAGGAAAAAGGTGGCAGCTCACAGTATCAAAGATTCCTTCCAGTTTTCACAAGAATTAGATCAACTCGATATTTCAGATAGACTTCTCGTGTCATACGACGTTTGTTCACTGTTTACCAGCATACCCATCGAAGAAACGGTAAAAATCATATGCCAGCAGTCCGAACTGCTCCCTCTTCCAGAAAATGAGCTGCGCAAATTGCTATTTCTATGTACAAAGAATATTCAATTCCGATTCAATAATCAGCTGTACCGGCAGATTGACGGGGTGGCTATGGGTTCACCTCTGGGTCCTGTTCTTGCTGACATATTCATGGCTCATCTTGAACAGACTCAAATGAAAGAAGAAATAGAAAGAACCACCTATTACTGCAGATATGTCGACGACACGTTTGTGGTCTGCAGTGATATATAACACGCGTCCACAATGTTTAAGAAACTCAATACGGCCCATCCCAACATTGCATTCACAATTGACTACGAAAGAAACAACCAGTTCCATTTCCTAGATGTCAACATAAAAAGAAGG